GGGGAGAGGCAGAATGATTCGTCTGTGTAGCAGTACCTCCGTGTCCACCCAACAGTAGGGGGTCCTGTTATTGATTCCTGGTCTGGTGCTGTTCTCCACGGTGTTATCAGTGCCCTTGTTTATAAATGGATCAGCCCTTTGAAACTGCGATATGTGGCAAAAGTTGACACTCAGATATTTCCTGTTTTGTTGAATTGAACTATGAGGGGGGAACACGCACCCTGTGAAAGATGGACTTGTTCTTGTGAGTTCTTGAGGTTTTTTGTTGATTTTTTTTTGGTGGGTGGTTGGCGGGTGCTCTGGTGTGATTTGCTCCTTCCTTCCTATCAAACGTAATAATATATCGTCCTTATCTCTCCTCCTTCTATGTTATGTTTGTTTCGCTCTTGTACTCCTCTAATCTTGGTCACTTATATGACCTTATTGTGTTGCACGTGCCGTAAAACTCTTACTAAAACAAGAGATTTCCTGTTTTGTTGAATTGAACTATGAGTGTGAAAGATGGACTTGTTGTTGTGAGTTCTTGAGGTTTTTTGTTGATTTTTTTTGGTGTGTGGTTGGCGGGTGCTCAGGTGTGGTTTGCTCCTTCTTTCCTATCAAACATATCGTCCTTATCTCTCCTCCTTCTATGTTGTGTTTGTTTAGCTCTTGTAACACCTCTAATCTTGGGCACCTATATGACCTTATTGTGTTGCAAGTGCCGTAAAACACCCACTAAAAAAAACCCAAATGAGGGGGTGGGGGGTGGGTGGGGTTTGTGGTTTTTTAAAGCGTTATGACGGATCCTGTCTTAGTGTCTACTACATAGCCAGTACCCTGTTAGTGGTTGGAGGGCGCCACTGGTAGGTCCTACATCTTTACTTCCATCTGTTGTTTCTGTCTGTGTGGGTGGTTGGAGGGTGCCACTGAGGTCCTACTTCTTTCCTTTCTCTCTGTTCTTTCTGTCTGCCTGTGTGGGTGGTTAGAGGATGCCACTGGTAGGTCCTACTTCTTTACTTTCCCTCTGTTATTTCTGTCTGCCTGACCTTTTCCAGCTAATTGACCATTACTATGTCGATGTGCTTCTCTATACTCAACAAACAAACCAACGAACCAGTAGGGCATACTCTATTTTAGTTTTAGTTTTAGTATGAGTTTTACGGCGCTCGCAACTGCATATGGTCATAATAATTATTTTATGAGCGCGCGCATACTCTATAAGTAAGCCTTTATTAGTTAACTCATAATACAAAGGCTGTAACTATAATGATGAAGAACCCATCCAATTATACTTTTCTAACTAGGCTTCGGGCGTTCTGGTTGGGTCAAAGACAGAAAATGTTAAGTCACAATGATGTGCAGTTTTCATTATTTTCTTTGTCTTTTTCTATGTGTCTGTCTC